CTGAAGGGGTAAGAAGCGGCCAAGTTATAAAGGTCTTTCTACCCATTCTAAAGAGTTTATTACTCTTTCCAAGGGCAATGGGGAACTAGTGCAGGCTTTCAAGCAAGAAAATGGCATGGTTTGATATATTCTACAGAATACTTATGCTCATTGTAATGTGGGAAAATTACTGAACCGGAAAATTTGGGAGCAGGATCTTTTGCTAAGAGGCTGTTCTAATAAGATAAAAGAGGAAGGTGGCCAGATAAAAATAGTAGCAACAAGGATATTAAGAAACAGAAGTTCTGGCCAAGATACAGGAGTAGATAGATATGCTTCTCTTCTTCACACAACCAAAAGAAGAAAACAACCAATTTAAAAAACAAAACAAAACAGAACCTTCAGAAAATTGAACTGTATGGAAGTCTGACAACCAAGGAGTTAAAGAAGAAACTTTCATCCAGACCTGTAGGTGGAGTGCAGATGGGCAGCTGGGGCAGAGAGGATGCCCAGCAAGGCAGCAGCTGGAGGACTGAGCGGTCCCACATTTGCATGCAGATTAACCAGGAGGAACAGCTCGGGAGCAAGGCAGACCACGCCACCCAGGTTTCCAGCATGGGAAAAGAAAGCCTCAAAACCTCTGGCCATTAACAACTATGGGGTTGCAGCAGTGGGAGAAACTCTCAGCCTCACAGGAGAGGCCATTGGAGAGACCCACAGGGTTCTAGAACATACACAAACGCACCCACCTGGAAATCAGCACTAGAAGGGCCCAATTTTCTTGTGGGTAGCAGTGGAAGTGACTGAAAGCAGGCCAAGAGCTAAGCAAATAGCATTGTTCCTTCTCGGACCCCTCCCCCACATACAGTGCCACAAGGCAGTGACGTGGTTTGCTCTGCCCCTTACAGTGTAACAGGCATGTGGAGACAAAGAAATATGTCCCAATGAAAGAACAGATCAAAGCTCCAAAAATAAAACTAAGCAAAGAGGAGGTAGCCAACCTATCAGAAGCACAGTTCAAAACACTGGTAATCAGGGTGCTCACAGAAATGACGGAGTATGGTCACAAAATAAAGGAAGACATGAAGGCCATACAAAGTGAAATAAAGGAAAATATCCTAGGAACCAACAGTGAAGAGAAGGAAACCAGGACCAAAATCAATGATTTGGAGCAGAAGGAAGAAGTAAACATCCAACTGGAACAGAATGAAGAAACAGAAATTCAAAAAAATGAGAAGAGGTTAATGATCCTCTGGGACAACTTTAAACATTCCAACATCAGAACCATAGGGGTACCAGAAGGAGAAGAGGAAGACCAAGGAATTGAAAACCTATTTGAACAAATAATGATGGAAAACTTCCCCAATCTGGCAAAGGAACTAGACATGCAAGTCCAGAATGCTCAGAGAGCCCCAAAGAAATTGGATCCAAGAAGAAACACACCAAGACACATCATAATTAAATTACCCATGATTAAAGATGAGGAGAGAGTCTTAAAAGCACCAAGAGAAAAGGAGAGAGTTACCTACAAAGGAGTTCCCATAAGACTATCAGCTGATTTCTCAGAGGAAACCTTACAGGCAAGAAGGGGTGGGAAAGAAGTATTCAAAGTCATGAAAGGCAAGGACATACATCCAAGATTACTCTACCCAGCAAAATTATCATTCTGGTTGGAAGGACAGATAAAGTGCTTTCCAGATAAGGTAAAGTTAAAGGAGTTCATCATCACCAAGCCCTTATTTTATGAAATGTTAAAGGGACTTATCTAATAAAAAGAAGAAGATCAAAAACTATGAACAGTAAAATAACAACAAACTCACAACTATCAACAACTGAACCTAAAAAAAACAAAAACTAAGCTAAAAAATTGAACAGGAACAGAATCGTAGAAATGGAGATCACATGGAGGGTTATCAGTGGGGAAGGAGGAGAATGGGGAAAAAGGAACAGGGACTAAGAAGCATAATTGGTAGGCACAAAATAGACAGGGAGAGGCTAAGAATGGTGTAGGAAATGGAGAAGTCAAAGAACTTATATATACAACCCATGGACCATGGACGTGAACTAAGGGGAGAGGAATGCTGGAGAGAGGGTAGGGATGCTGGGGGGAAGGGATATAGGGCAGAAGAGGTAAAAGGGGAGAAAAAAGTGGGACAAGTATAATAGCATAATCAATAAAGGATAATTAAAAAATATAAAGAAACAGAGTAACAGAATCATGGAATATGGTGATCAAATAGGTATCTGGTATGAGGAAGGCCTCTAGATTGTTGGCCTGGATAATTAAGAGGCTGAAAATTATCCCAATTAAATTGGAAATACAGAAATATTTGCAGGTTTCAAAGAGATGAGCGTAATATTTGTCATTTCAGATTCCAGGTGCTTTTATGTTACACAGTAAGACATATCCAAGAAGCAATTTGGAATATAAGCCTGGAAATCATTAGAGATAGCTAGTCTGAATGTATAAAATTTTCAGTTTGGGGCACATAGATGGTAGCTGAAGTAACAGTAATGGGTGAAATCACAAAGTAGTATGCTTAGAAAAAACAGAAGTGAGAACCAAAATTGGAATCAAGGACACCAATCTTACTAAATAGAAAGAGAAGAAAGAATCCATGACGGAGGACAAAAAAAGAGCCATAAAAATAGGAGGAAAAAAAATCAATAAATCACACTAGTATTAAGATATCATAAGAAGAGAAATTTAAAAGAAAGAGTGGCGAGAAATATCATCTGCTACACAAAGTTCATATACTGTGAAAACTGATTATTGTCAGTAAATCTTAATTTAGCAAAAGAGATTTTATGTGTGAGCCTGGAATCATGATTCAATGGTGAAATTAGAAGCCTGTTTAAAGGATGAATAGGAGATGAGGTAGTAGAGACCAGGAATATAAACAATGCTTTTAAAAAGCTTATCAAAGAAAGCATGAAAGTTGTTAAGAGACTTAAAACTTCAGAGATTTTTTTTAAGGTAGGAAAAGCTTGACCAACCTCAAATGTCAATAAGGATAAGCCAGCAAAGAAGGAGAGAATGCAGATGCTGGAGAAAATGGAAGGCAGGAAGGCAAGGAAATGAGTTTAGGAAGAGAGTAGCTTTAGACAAAGGACAGAACTCCCTGTCCTATAACAGAAATAAATACTAAGGGGATGGATAATAATGCAGGCAAGATGGTGAGTCTGCCCGCTTTAAGGGAGCACCCAAATGAGAACTTTTTCTGAAAATAGGTGTTATCAGTTGGTGAGGTGAGAATTAGAATATTTGAGATTTGTATCCTACCATATACATCACTAAAAATGTAAAAGAAAACCCCAATGGTCTAAAATTCATTGAGGTAATGTCATGGTTTCTCCCCCAGGAAATAGAATAAACTCTCAAAAAGAATTAAATGAAATTCTAAAAGATAATTTTAATTCCATAGCAATGTTTGTAGAAAAAATAACTTCAGTTACTGTTTATCGTGAATAACCACATGTGCCATACCAAACGTTGTCTGGCCATTAGAAAACACTTGAAAAGTATGTATGTGCTTCTTGATTGATTGAATGAGGCAAACAACTCAGCATATAGGATGTGGTCCACATTCAATATAAAGCCTATAGGTGTCTCTGTGGCTCCAGCTGAACTGATCAGGAGATTGACTCACTAACCTATATACATCTATTTTGTAACTATTTTGCTTCCCAAATTTTCTTTGGTGGTATTTTTTATTTCACCCTTCTGACCACTCCAAATCCTGTCTTATAAAATTGAGCTAAAATTCAACTCTAAATTCCTCCTTATTTTCTCCTGTTTCTCAGCTTCCAAAGTCAAATGTCACATTTCCACTAAACAACAGTCAATATTGCATTCTTTACATGCAATCTAAAGAACAAAATAAACAGACAAAATAGATATAGAGAACAGACTGATGGTTGCCAGAGAGGAGGGGTTTGGAGGGCTGGGTTGAAAATGGTGAAGAGATTGAGAAGTACTAATTGGTAGTTACGAAGTAGTCACAGGGAGGTGAAGTACAGCATATGGAATATAGTCAATAATATTGTAATAACTATGTATGGTGCCAGGTGGTAGCATGTTGTTTTACCTTTTTCCCTCATTTGATTACTCTCAGTGTCTGTCTCCGTGCCTGGCGTGTGGCTCCTCCTCAGTCTTTATTGCATATATGAATCCTATATGTTAAATACAATTCTACTTTATAAGAATTTTAATTTCAAAACTGTTTATCCACTATTCTGAAACTATTCTAATTTCCTTATGTAAATGTCTGAAAGCATATTACACAGTACCTCTTATTATGCAAGCCTGAAAAACAAAATATTGGCCCGAGATTTTTAGTTTCAGATTCCGTCCTCTCTATCTATAAAGAACCATTAACATTTAGATGAATAACATTCTTAAGGTGGTAACTAAACTGACCTTTGTTTCCTGTTGTTGCTTCATATGAAGTTTTCGTTTGGTTTGGTTTTAGAAAGCCCACTGATGGGCATGTACCAGGTCCCAGAATTCTTATTCAAGAATTCTGAATAAGAATTCTTTATCAAGAAGAAACAACAATGGCCGGAATTTAATAAATTTTTTAAATTAATTTATTTATTTTTCCAAATACATTTGTCTCTGCCTTCCCCCCACCACTTCCCCCTGCCCCCTCCCCCCTCTCCGTCCCTCAATCCTTCCCCACTTTGGTTTTGTCCATGAGTCCTTGCTATATGTTCCTTGACTTAGAGTAAGAGAAAAATTTGTACGGAGATCCACATAGAAAAATGACAACAGAAACTCTCCTTGTCAGTATAGCTCCAACAGCCCAGGATTAGTTTCTCAAATGAAATACACGTACGCGCGCACACGCGCGCGCCCGCACACATATATATCCGTATATGTATATCAAGCACTGAGTTTCTGTCAATGTTGTGCGTATGTGCACAAGAGAACACACACACTCATAGATGCAGAATTGTATCATAAATTCCATTGTATCTTTTATTAAATTAAAAGCAAATTTCTCCCTTTTCCTTTACAGAATTGTCAGCATCACACTGCCGGTGACTTCTGTGAACGCTGTGCTCTCGGGTACTATGGAATTGTCAAGGGATTGCCAAATGACTGTCAGCAATGTGCTTGCCCTCTGATTTCTTCCAGCAACAAGTAAGATTGAGAAATATTATCATGTTTCCCAATCAGTAACACCATCTGTTTAGCACATGGGCTTTCAGATTTGGCTACATTTTTCATGTAGACAAAAACCTCAGTTTAAGATAGAGATTTTTTTAGCAATATAAAAACACAACAAAAGTGAGCACATAATACCTTATGGTTCATTTTTTTTCCTTTAAAACCTTGTGCCAAGTAAATAATACTTATTAATTAAAATGTACATATAAATGTTAACATATATTTGTGGAATAAATATGTACAAATGTGCATAATTTTATGTATTTTTATAAAAAGCCTAGTGTTTGCATATAGTTCTGCCATAAATTCAGCTATGAAAGATTGTTTGGGTGCATACTATATCACTTTTTGGCTGTTTCTATTCATTTTGTGTGTTTATTTCATGATTTGTAAAGAATTATCAAGAAAATAATTGAAAAATGATACAGTTGAAGCCGGGTGACTTACTGTTATGCTCCAAAATAAGCAGTATTCTCCCAGAAAGACAGCCCCTTTTCTGTTAAGATGGGCCAGGCTTGATACCATGGAAACACAGCCATGAGGGGAAGCAAATCTGGAATATTTTATCTCATCGCTGTGTGAACATTCTGCTTTGGTTTATGTATTGATGAAAACCCCTAAATGTTTTCATTTACGTTTTTGCTTAGGCTATCTATACTTTCTGCTACATGATTTATAGACTTCAACCTCTATGTGGTAGGGCCTTTTTCTCTAAAAACTTTCCTTTGAAAAAAGGTAAGGCAGTTTGTTCCGAAGTAGAATCCTGGACACTTTATCTTGAGTATATAAGAACCACAGAGAAATTCAGCTAAAAATATCATTCCACCTGTGCTTAGTTTTTGGGGGTTTTTTTCCTATTTGCCTCTGTGTACATTCTGAAAAAATTTCATGTAAATTGTCTCCCTTTCCTCTACAAGCTCCTGGTTTTTTGTTTGTTTGTTTTGTTTTTTGTTGAACAGAATCACAGGTATACAGAGTCAAAAGTAAATATTTAGGTAAGTTGGATATTGATGATGATTATATATATGATCCTATTATTCCATCCAAGCACCAAGTGGTAGGTTATGATATATATTATTTTCATTTTGTTTCCCTAATCTCCCCCTGATGATCAAATTTAAATAAGAGAATGCTATTTATTTTATTGTTTATTAAAATATGAACCATTTGTATTAGACAAGTTCAATAATTAATTGATAACTTACTGTTGTGTGAACTATAACAGCTATAAGAGATATAAAAGAGAAGTATTACCTCTCTTGGAGAAGCTCACAAACATGGGTCTTAAGACAAGTTAACTTAAATGTAAAGAGAATTCAAAGACAAAATATCATACTTGATTTTGGAGGCTTAAAATAACATAGTAAAAGTAGTAATAGTATTGATAATGGATCCTAAACCATTGAAGTGAATTGAAGGATTTTTACTGGTAGAGATAGTAGAAAATTATGTGAGCAAAATGTTGGAGAATAGAAAACACAAGGCATGTTTAAGAACTAGTAAGAGAATTACAAACATGGATTTCAAATAGAGTTCATAATTGCTAATGAAAATAAATGGGAAAATGGAGGCCATATTGTAGATAGCTTAGAATACCAGTCTAAGAAATTGCTGTTCACTTTTCTATATAATAAAAAAAACTGCACATTTTTATTATTAAAAAAGTCGATGTGATGAGAGCCACACTTTAGGAAGACTATTATGATAGAGTTGAATATAAGGAATTGAAACAGGCAAAGAAAACAAGTGAAGAAACCAATTTAAAAACTAATGCATCAGCTTAGGCAAAAGGTAATTAAAACCTAAAGGTAGATAACCATAAAAAGAATGGAGACAGGTAGATGCATGTGAGAAAATTGTTGAATGCAATTCTACAGAATTGGTGACTAATTAGATATGAGGACTGAAAGCCAAGCAGACCAGACTTAAAGGCTAGAGGTTTTTAGCCAAGTTGACCCCCAAAATGGCAGTGCCATCCACTGAAATAGAGAAACTAACAAAGAGTTGCTGCAGAAGAAAGACAATTTATCTTTCAAATACGTTAAAATTGATATGAAGGATCTGTGTGAATGGAGATATACATAGAGCTACAGGAAATGGAAATCTGAAAATTTGAAGGGCACATGAAGGAAGTCATATGTCAATAAATGAATTAAAGTCAGATAAGATTTCCCGAGGTACTATTACCCAAGCAGAGCACATGGCAAGTAGCATAAAACCGTCTGCATTAGGGAAGCCAGAAGAGAAACAAGGACAAAGATGGGAGCTGTCAGGGGGCAAGGGAACGAGGGCCACACTGCCATTGGCACCACAGGACAGAAAGGCAGCAGTAAAGGAGCATCAGGTTCTCCTGGCTCACGGGAGACTCAGTACCTACAGGGGCGATACACCTGATAAACTGTGAGGGTCATTGCGGAATTCTGACAATCAATAATGAAAGCAGACGTTCGGTTACAAGGGTGTGAGTTTGCAACTTTAAGAAATTTCAGGAATGAACAGAAGGAGTACTACCTTGATTGCTTAGAATTTTTTTTAAAAAGAGCTTTCTTATATATGATTTGTATAATTTAAGTATACTTTTTTATGCAAAGGATCCTGTAAGAATCAAAACACCAAATAAAAGTGGCTAGTTCACTGGCTTTCAAACTTACTGATCACATCCACAGTAAGAAATACATTTTTTATATCATAACCTACTATACAAAAACTTGCATGTGTACATATCTATCTGTCTCATAGCATAACATTTTTTACTGTTACTGTAGTACAGTTGTCCCAATTTCTTCCCCTTTGCCCTCCTTTGCCCAGCCCACTTATCTTAATAGTATCCACAGGACTCACACAGAGTAGCAGGCTCTAAATCGTAAAAAATATGTTGAGGCAAGGTTGGAATTAGCTAACCTAGGAAATGTAAAAGATGCCCACCAAGAGAAAAAGCACAGGATTTCTGAGAGGCTCTGCAGACAATATGAAAATTGAATACATCATTGTAAAGGAGTTGTGAGCAGAAAAAAAAAACTTTTCACTCCAAGTAAGACATGATTCCTTCTTCCTCCTTCATAAATCCTTATATGTGATACAAGGAAAAGGTTTAATCCACCACAATATCACAATTCAAAAAAAGTTTATATCAACTATTCAAGGAGAATTATAACATCCCTCCATAACTGAGACAAATAAATTACTGCAAAGGAGTATGATTTAATTATGCTGACTCTCCAGAGTTTCTCTTGAAATATCTAAGAATCTATTTGTAAGTGCCTAGGTATGTACATGAGTTTGTGTGTGTGTGCACGAGCGCGCGCATACACGTACAGGTACACTCAGCATCGGCCAATAAATTAAAGAGCTAAACACTTGCAAAATGTGTCAATTATCTGTTTGTAGGTCTATTTTTGTGAAGGCAAAAAAATAAACTTTTTGGATAATGAGTTTGTGAATAGTAGATCAATTTGTTTACATATTTTACAAGGTTAGAGTACATGCATTCAAATACTATTGATTTAATGTATTACAAGAGAGATAAAAAAGGCCCTAAATGCATCTGACCAATAGAAGTTATGATGGTTGTCTTAACACTTTATTGCTTTTTCAGCATCAGCCGGGTTAGCAGACCAACAAAAAGAAAAATGGTGTTTGCAGCATGACCATTTTGCAACAAATATATATGTTTTTTATTTCAAAGATTCCAGTACACCGTGTGGTTTTATCCAGTGGGAATGCAGCAACATTTACATTTGAGGGAAGTTTGTAACAACTCACAAACTGCATGTTTTCACGTCTTGTCAAGTCTTTTCTTTTGTAGGGTAGGATGATTAGTGGTCCGGTAGTAGCAAACCTGACCAGGCTGTGATCTACACAGTGCTGTAATGAAAACCGGGCAAATTACGTAAGATCTACTTACTAGCAAAGATCATAAAATTGTTAGAAAATCTTACCCATTTCATGTAGAAAGCTTTCCTTCTTTTCTCACACTAAGTCACATTACTTTGTGTTTCAAGTAAAAAGCAGTTCGAAATTTGTATGTAAATTAGAAAAGGCACTCTTTATTTTAAGTGAAACATTTATTCAGCCTTCATATATTGAAGTGCCGGTGGCAATTTGAATTGAGTTTTCAGGAAAAGAATTATGTAGCTTTTATGCCCCATTTTTTACCTGAAAGATATTTAGTAACACATATTTTAGTTCTGGTTTTTTTTATTCATGAAAAATTGTCACTTTTGCCAAATGTTTCATATTTTCATGATTGTCATATAATTATTAAAATTTTAACATGGTCAATGTGATGCATTGTTAATTCAATAGAAATCAACCATATTTATTTGTTGACTATTATTAGTAATATTAGGTGTGATATTCTACCCTTGAATAGGAACTTAATTATAAAGAGGCATTTAAAATCATCTAAAAATACGTTAAATTCCAATCATCTAGGTAATGGATAGAATTACTTAAATTTATAAAATAAGTAGGTGAAGATATTTCTTACAATTTTTTTTCTTATTCAGTTTCAGCCCTTCTTGTGTCCTGGAAGGCCTTGATGATTACCGCTGCACAGCTTGTCCCCATGGATACGAAGGCCAGTACTGTGAACGGTAGGAACAGCCATGACACATAAATAGTGACAACACTTAGGGACAGTATAATAGAGGGCCATGACAGTAAAGCATTCATTATATTTATAACTTTATTATTTTCACTAGTTGTTTATATGCTTTTAAAACTATTTTTCTATAGAGTTTCTCCAAAGAAACAAATTTTATCACAATTTTCTAATCTGTTTTCATGTATAAACACGTACTAACATATATGCTATATATTATCGTGTGTGTGTGTATATATATAGAGAGAGAGAAGATTTAAAGAACAAATAAATCAATTTCTAAAAGCTTATAAATAGTTTAACAATAATAAAAAACCAACCACACATAATTCTCATTTCAGTTCAGTGGAAAATATTGGCGGGCACTAATTACATGCACATCACTGTTCTGAGCACTATGGCACTGCACCAGCAAGTGTATACATAATTCAGAATATAAATGGTGTCAAGCATTCTTAATTAGAATAACCCAAACAATGAAGTATTTATTATTTGGTTCTCCTTTTCAACAAATAGTATTTAAATGCTTGCTTTCACCATGTTCTTTACAAAATCTGATAATGGATGTATGTAGTTATTAAATTGAAACTAACTATAATACAAATGGTAAATTAAGAAGCACAATTTCAGACTGACTGTCTATAAGGTTGGTAATTATTATCTTCAGGATCCATGTTTTCTATAAGATCAGTATCCTGGATATTCAAGTATATCACCACCACTTTTTGGTATGTTTTAGGTATCATCTCTAAAGTAACAGAGTAACTAATGTTAACTATTAACATTTATATACACATGATAATTTTTGCATAATTGATAACTACAAATTTTTATGAAGACCCATGGACATAGCCTAGCTCCATCAGCTTAGCTGGATCTCATTTTTCTCACCTGTAATATCAGAATAGGTGATGTTCTACCTACTTTAAACTAACATTATGAATATCAAGTGCATAGAAGATACTGTTGGTATCCTGCCTAAACATTGCACAGAAGCTTCATCTCTCATAAGAAGGGCAAAAAGGCCCAGGAATTGACCCCACCTTCCTCTAGTGGTTCAAAGTCAATGACTGACTAGTATTAAGAGTACAAAATTTAGCTTCTTTGCCCAAAATTTGAACAAGTTTTGAGATGTTATTTATGCTACAGAATTTTTCATGGAATTAAACTGAATAGTACCTAGAATCATACCATTGCTTGGATCATTTATTTTCCATATCCTGCTTTATCCATTCTTCTGCTGGATTTTTCTAGGAGCACTTCCCTAAATTATGACTCTCTTTGCAAATATAAACTGACGAATATTATCATCACTCATTTAAGAATTTTCTTTTGATATAACCGGTGATAGTTGTGTTAATAATGGAAATAAGTAACTAAATAATTAAAATTTAATTTTATAAATGCCAATGCAATTTCTATGTTTGCAAAATATATTGCCAAATAATTCTATATGTGGTAACCCAAAGCACAATATCCAACACTTGCATGTATAACAGTGCCTTCACAATTTCCATGTAAACATAAATTAACAGCAATTAAATAACTCAAAGCAATACAAAATTCAAAAATATTTCCATTGTTTTAGAGATATATACATCACTTGAATATATTTTAATATCCACCAGTGTGCTTTTGTATTCATGCTTAGGCTAATATTCATCTCATGCCCTTGTAAACTCCAGTAGGATGGTGACTAAGGGCACCCCTGAACACCAAGGAAATTGTCTGCAGTAATTTATGGAAAAAAATATTTGATAGCATAACTACATTTCTGAATTGAAGTTACCACCGTATATGATAGCATGTATATAGAAAAGACTGGAAGGTACACTGAAATGTCTATTATGTCTTAAGGCAGAGTGATTACAGAAAATGTATCTTTTAAATATCCATTAATGTTTAAGAAATAAGAGTTGACAGTTTATGTAGCACACTGATGATCAGGGTTGTACACTATCAGATGTGAATGGCTTGAATTGTTTTTGCAGTTTTCAAATGTTGTTATAGCTTTACATTTATCATCTCTAACATAAATGATCAAGTTATATTTCCCTGAAAAATTGCTTTTGTTCAGCTAAATTAAACCAAAGGTCTTGGTTAAATTTTGACTGTATCCTTCCAAATAAATTTGTTCCACTTCTGAGAACTTCTTAAATCATTTAAATCACCTTATGACCTGCTCAGATTCATCAGCTCAGGGCGAAAACTGCTTAAATGTCTTGAGTGTCCCTGTAGAAGTGTAGAGAGCCCTCCCCGTGGTTTATCTTAGTTACTCTTGCAATAAACTCTTTGGGCATTTAATCAATCTGAACCTGCATGGAATAAATTCTTTCACCTGCAGATGTTAAGAAACAACTTAGGTGGATTTATTTAAATGATATTTTTACTGAGCCTGTGTAATGTTATATTGAAAATAAAATGATAATTAGAACCATAAACATATAGAAGCCTAATGTTACAGATAATTTTCTTCTTGCTTTACCTTTCTACCCAGGCCAAGATCAATTAACTTTCCCAGTCAGCCCTGCAAATTTTCACAGTACCAGGTCACTGGAGATGGTCCAGGATTATTTGACCAGTGTTAATAACTTTTGGCTTCAACATCCTGCTGTCTCTCAACTTGCTCCCATACTTGCCTTTTGAACAAATATTCTAACTGTTGATTATATTTAGGCTGACTACATATAATTTATTGTCCAATCGAGGATACTTGAAGGAGAGACAGGAAGTGTTTTTAGTAATTAAGCCAGGACAAAAGGTAACTTGGGACCACTCTGGGTAAACCAGAGCATCTGGTCTTGCTAGTATCTTGTAAAGTTACCTCTTCCAATAACATAACCAAAGGTGTATACTTAGACAAATGAATGCATGGATGGGTGGCAGAGTCATTGAGTGGATTGCATTTTGGGTTTATCCAGTTGGATTTCCCTTATAATTTCTCAAATTGATATGATATATTTTATTTGTATAACATTAACCCACTTCCATGGACACACAATGAAAAATTCATCCTGAGAAAGTTCTGTTAGAAAGGAAAGAGCAATAGAATTACATAGAAAATCTAATTTATTGTCACTTACCTTGCTTCTTGTCATTCATTTGTTATCAGTGGAGGGGTTCTTACCCCACCTCAAGACAGAAATCGGGAGAGGAAGTTAAACAGAAACAAAAGAGAAAGGGTTTACTAAAAACTAGATGAGAAGAAAAAGGGGAGCGGAGGGAGCTTGATGCATGGAGGGAACACGCCCTGACAGGGAATACAGCTCCCCTCACCGCGGCTGGGGAATGGCTAACAGAGCTCTGGGTTTCTTCTCACAGGCGCAGAGTGAATCTCTCTGTCCTCCAGGTTCCCACCGTGGGCTGGCATTGACTGGCTCAGGCACAAACACATTGGTTTGGGGAGGACCTGAAGGGAAACCTTAAACTTGTAAGAAGGACTTAAGAAGCAACTGAAGGACATTCCCATCCACCTTAGAGAGGCTCAGCCCACCTCGGGTTGAATGATTCTGTCATTTGATATCTAAAATGCATGAATCTAAGACAGCCCAGGAGTCGATATATAATTTTATTTACTTCTAACTTAAAAAAAAAAGACTTCAAAAGATAGTTTATGATCTAGAGCAATGGTGGGCACACCATAGTCCACAAAATTTGGCCCATTACATGATTCTGTATGACACTCAAGATAAAAAGGGTTGTTGCAGGCAAACACTTACAGTCAATTTGATGACAGGAAGTATTAAATCTGAACCTTAGTGACATAAATTTGATACATCAACAAGAATTCTCCTCACGAGAAGATTGTTTTTACTTAGGAGATTATTATTATAAACTTGAATTCTATCAACCAAAGAAAAGTTTCAAATTTCATTTCTCCATGATTTTGATCTTGCCTCTTGACCACAAAACTTAAACTATTTATTACTTGGCTCCTTTCAGGAAAAGTTTGCTGACCCCTAATCTACTGACTCTTGGTATCGGTTTTGTTTCATTTAACACAACACACACAACAGCAGCAATTCAGAGACCTGACATTATTAATCCCCTTTGCTTTGTCACTGTTTCAATCCAGGTGTGCCCCTGGCTACACTGGCAGCCCGAGCAGCCCCGGAGGCTCCTGCCAAGAATGTGAGTGTGACCCCTACGGCTCAATGCCTGTCCCCTGCGATGCTGTCACAGGGCTCTGCACGTGCCGCCCTGGAGCCACGGGGCCGAAGTGTGATGGCTGCGAGCACTGGCATGCACGAGAGGGCGCGGAGTGTGTTTGTACGTATACTAACTTAGCTGCTAGTTCCGGCGGCCTTGTTCCATTCTCTCTCATTTCCAGTAAGAGATAAAGACATGATTTTTTTTTTTTTTTTTTTTTTTTTTGTAATAGCTAGGGCTTCATTCTTTTTGGTGCTCTCTATCCACCTTCTGCTGTTTGCCTGCTGTCTTTGCCTCCATCCCACTGAGCCAAGAACAGCTGAGAAAATCCTCAACATGCGTTAGTCAGTTCGCTGAAGACCTACAACACAGCTCCTGGAGGCATATTTTGTTTTTATTTTGTCCGTCTCAGAGTTGGCCTTGTCTTTCTAACAGATTAAAGATCTGGGTTTATTAATTTTTTAGAATCTTCCTGAATTTGTAACTGGCTGGACAGACACTTTCAGCCTTTGAATTAGAACTGACTTTTCCTAGCTTTTACAGAAATCCACGGGCTTACTGCTTCATAACTTTCTCTTGAACTATAGAATCTGGAAGCACTGACAATGAACTTTAGTATTTTTATTCACATGTACAACAAATGCAGAGCTCTCTCTCTCTCTTTTTTTACCTCCCTCTGGATTCAGTAATGCCACATTGAAAATACATGGAATATAGTAGTTATGTGATTATTGGATCTTATATAAATTCTAATCTAAAATAGGTCATTTATAAGTTTAGACAGGGATTCTTACGGTATTCTTTTCTTTGAAGGAATTTACATCGATGATCTTAATTCTAACAAAGAAGAATATAAAATATTTCAGTTTTTTTACTTCAGTATTCACCTATTTTAATATATTTATTCATGATAATATTTCTGGTTTGAGCATCTTGTGTGTGTCTAACTCTTAATAGCATCTTAATTAGAATTTTTGTTTGTGCTCTAGTTTTGTAAGAGTTACCTCAAAAACTAAGAATGGCTTTTAAGATATGCTGACAAAGACTGGATGTGTTTGGGAGTATAGATTTTTTAATTATTTTTCTATGTATATCAAACATCTTTAACAAAAATGGATTACATTTAAAATAAAAATAAGTGTCAAAATTGATGGGAGAGAGATTAAATGTAATATACATTTACGTTATCATATTCAGGTAATGGTGGATACATATTCACTCTTCTCAAGTATCATGGCATATTTTAATGATAATTTAGGTAGGCTTCCAACATAATCCAACTAGTTTTAATATTGTTTCCAAGTTAAATTATTAATATGTATATATTTAATTAGATAATTGATAGATACTCCTAATGTAAACACTAAACAGTCCTTTAATTTTTCATCATCAACTTTATTAATTATCCAGAAGTCAACTTAAAATAAAAATATCACATTCAGTCTGGCTGGTGTGGCTCAGTGGGTTTGGCTGTGAACCAAACGGTCACCGGTTCAATTCGCAGTCAGAGCACATGCCTGGGCTGTGTGCCAGGTCCCCAGTAGGGGGCATGTGCAAGAGGCAACCACACAGTGATGTTTCTCTCCCTCCCTTCCCCTCCTCTAAAAATAAATAATAAAATAAATCTTAAAAAAAGAGATCACATTCAATGTGAAGCACAAAATATTATAATAATGTTAAAAATTTGTGAGAAATCAAATAATGGTATTATTTTCTGAACATTTCTTTTAAAGGGAGTTGTCATTCTGCCCATCAATAACAATGGCTCTAAGTTCTTATTCTATTGATAATCACTATTTTACATACACTTAAATACATTTACAGTAAAAAAAATTCATTTTCTCCCTGTCTCATATGTGCATTTTAAATCTCTCAGTTTCCCATGTGAAAACAGCAAAGTGCTAATCCTCCTGTTACAAAGTTATATCAGCCTGATAATGTTTATTTGCATTATTTTTGTATTTCCAACCAGTACACATGATATTCAGTTCAGTTACTATGTCTGCAAATTTTTAATATTTTTCTGGAGGATTATTTAATATTTAGATACCTTTTCTAAAGTGTTTATAATTATTTTATAAATAAACACAATATTTCTTTTATATTTAAAAATATAATATTTTCACTTTGTAAATGATATATATTCTTTGTGCTGCTCTTAAATTCGTGATTTCATTCAGTTCTAGGAATGTTTTATCTTTACCCTGCATTAGCTTAACTATAAGAATTATTACCTAGAGTATCTTCAGATTTTTTTTCATTTTATAAAATTTCTCCTATTGTGGAATGTGGAAAAATATGCAATAGTTCTATTATGTTGGCCTTTCCCAGAACTCAGTTACTACTTCTAGTTTTGAAATGAGGTAATAAAACAAGATACAAGTGAGGGCTTAACTCTGACTAATCCTCAATTCTCTTTTTAATATCTTTCTGTATCCATAAGCTAAATTGGAGCAGGAGAGCAAAGAATGGATTCACCTGGCATATTTGATTTGCAGGGCCTGTTTTACATCGTGACTTTAGTGGAATTTTACAAAACCCATGGGTGGGAGTGGACGGAGGTAGCCTGGTTCAGACAAGAGAATATATCTGTAGTAAAAGAAACGTCTTCTGAGAAAAGCTTCTTCTGAGCTTAGAGCCCACATTACCTCAATGAAGAATAAAGATAAAATGGGCTAAAAATGAAAAATTTTAAATATATATAATGTCAATATGATTGTTATGATAGAGCCTTATTCATCAAAAATTGTCACGTTAAGGCCTATCTTCTTCTTTGCAAGTGAAAAGATACACTAGCTGGTGCTCAGATTCCCTTCAATTCTTTTTTATTTTTTTCTAACCAGAATAATTTGGGACAGCTCTACAATGTGTACTTCCCTGTGCACGTTGGTGATTTCTGAGTAGATATTTTCTTGAACTCCCCCGATCAGGACTTCTTAATAAGTTCGGTTAATACAAATCCCATCTCCTCTTTCAACTCTAATTCATAATTTGCATATCATTTTATGAAATGAGAACAACTACCTGCCTCTCCAAAATTGGAAAATAAGGAAGAAAGCTCTTATTTGTTTAATAAAAGTTTTATATTGTGAAACAAAGAACTTGTCTTTGTTCACGTCCTATTGTCTACAGACTAGTAATTAACACAGAACAACTCACATGATATTTAAAACAGATTATGAGAGGCATAGTAAAATACATTACTCTCCTAGAGAATAGAAATTGAAATTAGTAGCTGTTGGCAAGATGTTATTCCATAAAAAGTACCTAAAATAGTGTTTTATAAATATCAAATTAATGCTTCCTGTTGTATTCATCGCATATGAAATATTAGAACTATATCAGCTTTATTATTTATTATCACAATTTACTTCAATTATGACATTTAAGATGCTGTTTTGCTTGCCAATGTTGCAAAAGCAATAATGAAGTATGTTTTTTACCTGCAACCTAAGGTAAACCTCACTAAATGTGGTAATGCACCTCTGTCTTCCAGCCACTCGATGAAATCTGAGGTCTGAAGTTTTACCCAGACTTGATACTTAGACACAGTCAAGGTTGTTATTATTTTTAATAGCCAGTTGCCACCAGGGATCTTATCACAATAATGCAGAGACCCTTAATATGTTATCACTAGAACAGTTCTGCACTCATAATCAAAGATTCCTAATGACAGTTATTGTTCCCTATGTATGAGAACAGAAACAAAATAGTGGAATGTGGTTCATCACTCTAAAGAAAATGGGACTTTCTATAACAAAAGATGATGAAAAACCATAAGTTGACCTCCAGTTGATACTATGTAATGAGCTATGGCTTCACTCATTGGACATGTGATCACCCTTTGTCCAGGGCCTTTACATGCCAACCTTTTTTTTGCCCCACTTAATCCGCAAGTACTAGTTCCTACTCAAAGACCAGTATGTCTACTCTACTGTTCTACAACTCTAAATCATGGCATATTGTACAAACCCAAGCACAGGGAAGCTATAAAAGCAACTCTGCTCATCCTGTTCACATCTACTCTGCATCTGTTTTGTTAGTAAAAGATGCTTTGAGTTTCTTACTGTCAACCTCCTTAGCATAGGTCCAGGCTAACAACCTGTGGAAGAGGGAATACTCTGACTCTATATAATTTTCCTAGTTACTGATGATTAGTCTCAGTGGTCTGTCTGTCACTTTAAGAAAGCTGTTCCATTAATGGACTGAAGGAGTCGTGTGGTTGAATTGTCACATAAAGGAGGCTGATTACAATTTCCTCTATTTTCCATCAGGCTTTATTTTAAGGGTAAACTCCATTTGATTACAATTTTTACTCTGCTAGATTGAGGAAGTTTATTGACTTTACAGAACAATAGAATCACGTGATTTTAAAGTCAGAAGAAATCTTACAAGATAGTCTAATCATCATCTTCTCTGATGTAAGGAAGCATACTGTTGTAAAGTGGCTCTAGCAGCCTTGAATCCTGGCAGGCCATATATAAGTTGTGTGACATTACTTAACTTTTGTAAACCTCATTTCATTCTCTATAAAGTGGAAATAAAATACTACATGCATGCATGCAAAGTATCAAAGCATAATATGTCCTCAAAATATTCCAGAAATATTTTTCTAATAAGATTATTATCTCATGGTTTCATCATTTTTTCAAGTGCATAATAGTGTGTGTAGCCCATCAGTTTCTGGTGAAATATTTAGGTTAGGCTGCATTTTGATTTTCTATTATCATCTCTAATTCTAAACTCTTCAAGTCACTGAAAACCTCTTTTATGAACATCTTACTTTTTCTCACCTCTTTAAGTTTATATTTATAGATTCATAAATACAGATTGTGACTCTTTTTCTCATCTTTAAAATGAAGATATTAATAGGATTTCATAAAATTGCTGTGAACATTAGATAATGATGGCAAGACTCAACATATTGCCTGCTACGTAGTGAATATTGTATAAATAAAAGCTATTATTTCATTATTATTTACAGTACTATCAAAATTTGTATTTTTCTGAAAAACTACATCATACTGGAACCATATTGAACTTGTTTTCCATATATATTTATGAACAAAATTTTATGTAACATATATATTAAGTAAAATGTATACATAAGTTTAAAATTA